TCCATGCATTTATACCCTATATATAGACATAGATACATAACATACACGATCCATGCATTTATACCCTATATATCCATGCATTTATACCCTATATATAGACATAGATACATAACATACACGGTCCATGCATTTATACCCTATATATAGACATAGATACATAACATATACGATACATATACGTTTGACACAGAACAGTTTTTTCCCCGAAAAAGTTGTTTTATAGCGTAACAGTAACAGTTACATCCACATAACTACATGTTGCTATTACGATAGTCGATGCGTGGTCTGTCGCCGAGACAGCAGTATTGACTGAAGAGCAGTTTTCTGAATTCCGGTTTTGATTGACAGATTTTTTTTAAATTGTCCTACTCTGCTAGAAAAAGTCGACATATAAATCTTTGGAATATTTTCTACTTTATCATCTATAACAAAAACAGATTAAAAAATAATGATTAGATGTCTAATAGCAAATAATAATAATAATAATAATTCGAGGTTCATCACAATCTAGTTCATAGGTCCCATCACTAGACCACCGTGCATCCATTAATAAAACATTAATGTGGTGTTTCTTATGAAAATTTGTCTGTTTATAACCAGATTTCTACATTAAACTAGTTTTCGTCTCTTTCGCAATAGCTTCGGCTTATTGTTTTCCTAACCGGTCAACTTCCAGGTTCCAAAAAGCATGTGTTTACAACATTGCTCACCTAATTCAAGGAATGACTCAATTCCGGTTTCAAGAAAATACGAAAATGGCTCTTCATTTTTTATTTTTTTTACAGATACCGCTTTACAAAAGGTATTTAAATCAATAAGTAATTTACTCACCTTACTTAGAACCATGTACACATTATATTACAAAATCACATCATGGACATAATCAAGAAAGTATTATTTATTAGTTCCTCCGCGAGTTTATATCTTCGTCAGTACAGAAGCAATACATATATTAGTTTAAATAAACACTTTCACGTATTTGAATCAAAAGGTTAAATTTGTTTCAATTATTATCTAACAAAACTGGAAAGCAAAACGCTTCGAGTTATTGTTCAAGTTACACCTTTAACGAGCAAATCTTCACTCGAACGTATTTACAATGGTGAGTTATACAGTTGCTATGGTAATGTAAAACAGACGTTGGGTAAACTGGTGAATGATACCCAGCTTATTCCGTCTTTGCGTATTGCAGAGTTATCTTCTCTTGGGAGCAGGTATTGATTGTTACGTCATTGGTTTGTGTGAGAAAATTACGTCGTTTTCTCAAAAATTGATGACGTTACTCACACAAACAAATGACGTAACAATCAATACCTGTTCACAAGAGCAGATAAATCTGCAATACGCAAAGACGGAATAGGCGAGATATCACAACTATAACTTAACATGACGCAATGTGCCGGAGATTTAATCGCACCTAATACAATAAAACTTTGTATAAGCACGAACTTCTTAAAGAAAAGTATATAAATATAACAACTGCACCTATAATTAAACGAATGCCATTAATATAACGTCATATCGTCAGTGATCGAAAGCAATAACACAGTAATATATCCCAGAGTACAAGGTGTGGTATAACTTAGATAAAGCCAGTATGACAGGTGATTATCTCATATCTCTTTTATTATAGATACACACCCAACACAATTACAATAACGTGATTCTACCGACCTACCGAGCTATGTCTGAACACCTGATATATAACCTCACCTGTCCATCAACTCACCTGTCAGTCTACTCACCTGTAAATACTGATTGACATTGTTGGTATCCGGGGACCATGCACCCATCAACAGATTCCCGTTCATATCGAAAAGTTCTTGCTTGTTCAGCACCCCTCTATCTGGCGAGTAGACCTGCGATGGGTCTAATTCCTCCTTCTCCGATGATGACGTCATAGTAAAGCTCGCGCCATATGGTGACGTCAACAGACTATCACCACACGAAGCTGAAAAGAATAAGTGCAATTTAACCTGAATAAACCTTTCCTGATACATGTATTTGATTATTTAGTTTGCATCAAGTTTGAAATACAATCGTTTTGCAAATCAATATATCTTTTTGTAGCAACAGAATTCCAAGCATCTTTAATGGATGAGACTTTAACCTGAGCAAAAGTGTCTGATGCTTCAAGTTTTCTTCGCTAATAATAACAATCCTGTAACCTGCTGGTATTTCTTGATATTCTTTACGAACATAAACCAGAAAATTATTATGAAATAAATTATACTAATAAAATATACAATGCCAAAGACTCATTGTGTAAAAAAATCTATTTATTTTTAGACAAACTGGGTTTGACCGAGTTGTGATAAGATGAAAGACTTGATAGATTGCACATGTGCTCAGCGTAGGGATAGAGTTTCGCGGACACAGAACACATCCCAATAACTACACAACTAAGCTAACTCCTGACAACAATTAATGAAACGTATGGCACAGAATACATCCCAATAACTACACAACTAAGCTAACAAATGACAACAATTAATGAAACGTTTGACAAACACAAGAAAAAGCATGGCATGAGTTTGCAATTGATATACGTTCTTACACTGTACTTCCGTCATTGTTACATTTGTATATTTGTTTGCACTTCGGTAAATTCATATTTGTGGATGAAAGTAACAATACGACACCGACATTAAGGAATGGCAGGTTCTGTCAGGCTTCAAAGATAGTCAACATTATATACTATCACAAAGGGAGAATTCATGTTTATGACTGATGCATTTCATATTAGGGAGATATTAGCCAGGTGGCATATGACTAGTAGTTAGCGCCCGATAAGGCAGCACCTGCGAATTTCTCAATATTGTATTGATTAATATACATGCTTATGGTATTGACTGTATAAAACTGTATATCCATGTACTGTAAAACGCTTTAGAGTGGCTTATGTTAGCTAGATAGGGCGCTATATCAAATGTTGTATATATATATATATATAGTAACGCTCTCAAATTACATGCTTATATAACTTAATTATGTTTATATGCATATTCCAATTTTTAGCATATACTTTTTGTGATGATTTTCACCTAAACTTTTATTTATTTAAAACTGTATTCTACTGTGCTGACAAATCGTTGCCTCGTAAATCTCTGTTCTATTGCCTTTATTGCAATTTAAATTTTATGTACGGGTATATGAAATAGGAGATATATGGTTTTTACTTCAAATACCCATTTTCTCTTTAAATTGGTCATTTGTATTAACAAGGGACCAAATATAGATATGATGTCATTTAAAAACTATAATTATCTTATTATAATTATAGGGTTTTTTTAAGTAAGAAAACCCCTCTAAGGCTACAGCAATGAACAACAATCTGGTTTAATGTTATTGCTTTTGTGATTGCTATTGTTCCATTTGTCTAAATTGAAATCGCTCATATCCACAGTTAGGTACATCTTACCACAGACGCTTACCGTACAGCCTATGTGAAATAAGTCTTGCCTTACACGGATCGATCAAAGATTGCACAGTAACATAGATTCACCGTCTCTCAGCTGAGTATTTCAATTTATCTAATACAACAGCAGTTGTCAGAGTAACTATATGACTAATGGTAAATTGTTTTAAATTTAATAATAAAATGTACTAGTAAATTAATCTTTATCAACGAAAACAAGGTACAATGTTAACAAAGGAAGCCTCTAGGATAAATCTTATCAATACTGAATACTAACTGTTTGACTTTGCCGGTAACATTGTTGTCAGTGCTGTTACCATGGTTGTCTGAGAGGATTGTTGTGATGACGTCACAGCCCCCAGTGTCGTTGTCGCTGACGCTGCGGTCGTTTGTGTGGAGTCACAGCCAATCAGATCCATTCTCATTGCAATGTGATGATGCCACGTGGCCGGGTTGACCCGGATACATTTGGCTGTGACCGGCGCAGTCAGGTTGTTTGTCACCACCGTGTCCTCGTCTGTGTTTCCAGTGAATGTCTTCATTAAAATCACAAAAAGAAATAAAATCTAGAAGATGACTTGTTTAAGGATTAAATCATAATTTTGTAATATTCTTAAGATGTTTCAGTACTAATACATTTATTGAGTAAATAGTTTTTCTAAGATACATATGTATAATAATAATGATAATAATTCGCGGTTCTAATATACCGCTTAATCACAACCTAGTTCGTAGGTCGTCTTAAAGCGGTTCACAAATTATTATCCGTGGTTATAGGGCATTTGCAACCAGCCAATATATTTCTCAACGCCCTCGGAGCATACAGTCGGTGCTGCCATTTCGGCGCTCACAGCAAGCATTCAACAATTATAGTACTCCCCAACCACGTACCCATTTACAGTTGAGTAGACTGGAACAAGTGGAGTAAAGTATATTGTCCAAAGATACAGCACAGGGCCGTAACGTGACCCGAACCCGCAACCCTTCGGTCACGAGCCCGGCGTCCAACCACTAGACTATCGTGCCTCCTATTTATATCAGGATGGTGGGCACGATACATTGTCGTTGTAACACTAATGAATACCGGTCTGCCTGTCTACACCAGGTCAACAGTATAGTTCCATGTCTAATTAGGATGTATTGGCAATTTATATCTACTACGGCTATGAAACGAACACAATGCAATATATACAAAGACCAATGCCAAATAGTTCCCTATCAAATCAGGGTGACAAGATGTTTACAAGGGTCTTCGCTTTGCTTTGTATGATGGTAAAAAGGTACATTATATAGACATAAAAAACAAAATCATTTTGACCAAACTTGAAATCAAATAGGTTTTCGAACTAAAACGTGTGAGAGTAAAACAGTATAGTTTGTTTAGTTCGCAACTGAGATAACCCGATCTCACTTAGTTACATGTACTGTATAGTTCGCGACTGAGATAACCCGATCTCACTCAGTTACATGAACTGTATAGTTCGCGACTGAGATAACCCGATCTCACTCAGTTACATGAACTGTATAGTTCGCGACTGAGATAACCCGATCTCACTCAGTTACATGAACTGTATAGTTCGCGACTGAGATAACCCGATCTCACTCAGTTACATGAACTGTATAGTTCGCGACTGAGATAACCCGATCTCACTCAGTTACATGAACTGTATAGTTCGCGACTGAGATAACCCGATCTCACTCAGTTACATGAACTGTATAGTTCGCGACTGAGATAACCCGATCTCACTCAGTTACATGAACTGTATAGTTCGCGACTGAGATAACCCGATCTCACTCAGTTACATGAACTGTATAGTTCGCGACTGAGATAACCCGATCTCACTCAGTTACATGTACTGTATAGTTCGCGACTGAGATAACCCGATCTCACTC